CAGCTGGTTGAGGGGGGGTCCCCTGTCCTTACCCTGGCACTCACTCCTGTCCCTCACACGCAGCACTGGGTGACCGGCCGGCAGATGCGCTTTGAGGGCGGTTTCCAAGGTCGATGCAACAAGCTGGTGGACGGCTGCTACTCCTTCTGGCAAGCTGGCCTCCTGCCCCTGCTGCACCGCGCCCTCCACGCCCGGGGTGAGTCACCCGTGGGGGCTCCCGCCCTCCTCTGCCCCCCAAAAACAGCCTCTGGGGGAGGGGGGAAGCTGTTTTAGTGAGGGAAGGAAGCGCAGAGCAGCGTGGGGGTCCCCGTGTCCTCGGTCAGGGGGGATTCATGGGGACACCGTCTGCTGGGCCAGCGCCTCGGTGGTGTGGGGGAGGCACCAGGGAGGGGGAATTTTGCTGCTTTCCCAGGGAGTTTCACTGCTTCCCAAGGGAATTTCACTCCCTTCCCAGGGAATTTTGCTCCCTTCCCCAGGGAATTTCGCTCCCTTCCAAGGGAATTTCACTGCCTTCCAAGGGAATTTCACTCCCTTCTTAGGGAATTTCACTGCCTTCCAAGGGAATTTCGCTGCTTTCCCAAGGAATTTTGCTGCCTTTCCAGGGAATTTCGCTCCCTTCTCAGGGAATTTCGCTGCTTTCCCAGGGAATTTCACTCCCTTCTTAGGGAATTTCACTGCCTTCCAAGGGAATTTCGCTGCTTTCCCAAGGAATTTTGCTGCCTTTCCAGGGAATTTCGCTCCCTTCTCAGGGAATTTCGCTGCTTTCCCAGGGAATTTCACTCCCTTCTTAGGGAATTTCACTGCCTTCCAAGGGAATTTCGCTGCTTTCCCAAGGAATTTTGCTGCCTTTCCAGGGAATTTCGCTCCCTTCTCAGGGAATTTCGCTGCTTTCCCAGGGAATTTCACTCCCTTCTTAGGGAATTTCACTGCCTTCCAAGGGAATTTCGCTGCTTTCCCAAGGAATTTTGCTGCCTTTCCAGGGAATTTCGCTCCCTTCTCAGGGAATTTCGCTGCTTTCCCAGGGAATTTCACTCCCTTCTTAGGGAATTTCACTGCCTTCCAAGGGAATTTCGCTGCTTTCCCAAGGAATTTTGCTGCCTTTCCAGGGAATTTCGCTCCCTTCTCAGGGAATTTCGCTGCTTTCGCTCCCTTCCAAGGGAATTTCACTCCCTTAGGGAATTTCACTCCCTTCCCAGGGAATTTTGCTGCCTTCCCAGGGAATTTCACTCCCTTCCAAGGGAATTTCACTCCCTTAGGGAATTTCACTCCCTTCCCAGGGAATTTTGCTGCCTTCCCAGGGAATTTCACTCCCTTCCAAGGGAATTTCACTCCCTTCCAAGGGAATTTCACTCCCTTCTTAGGGAATTTCGCTCCCTTAGGGAATTTTGGTGCCTTCTCAGGGAATTTCACTCCCTTCCCAAGGAATTTCACTGCTTTCCCAGGGAATTTCACTTCCTTATCAGGGAATTTTGCTGCTTTCCCAAGGAATTTCGCTCCCTTCCAAGGGAATTTCACTCCCTTCCCAAGGAATTTCACTGCTTTCCCAGGGAATTTCACTGCTTTCCCAGGGAATTTCACTGCTTTCCCAGGGAATTTCACTGCTTTCCCAGGGAATTTCACTGCTTTCCCAGGGAATTTCACTGCTTTCCCAGGGAATTTCACTGCTTTCCCAGGGAATTTCACTGCTTTCCCAGGGAATTTCACTGCTTTCCCAGGGAATTTCACTGCTTTCCCAGGGAATTTCACTGCTTTCCCAGGGAATTTCACTGCTTTCCCAGGGAATTTCACTGCCTTCCCTTGCAGGAGACGCTGCGCTCAGCATGACGCGCTGGATGTTCGACCAGACGGCGCTGCAGGAATACATCCTCCTGTGCTGCCAGTGCCCGGCCGGGGGGCTGCTGGACAAACCCGGCAAGTCAGTACCAGCGTGGGGAGGGGGCTGCCTGGTACACTGGATCTCCCCCCCTCTCCCCTTACTCAGCACCTTGATATTCCCCCTTCAGATCCCGGGATTTTTATCACACTTGCTACTGCCTGAGCGGCTTGGCCATCGCCCAGCATTTTGGGAGCGGTGACCTTCACCACGAGGTGGTTTTGGGTGTCCCTGAGAACCGACTGGTAAGTGCTGGGTGTTGCCATGAGGTGCTGGGGCAGGAAGGGCTGAGCTTCTTCTTTATGTCACAAAAACCATAAAGCTCCTCTTTTTTCCTCTCTCTTTTGCAGCAGGCCACACACCCTGTCTACAACATCACCCCAGAAAAGGTGATGCGAGCGGTGATGCACTTCTTGCAGCAGCCCGTGCCCGCTGTGGAGCCGGTGGCTGCTGCTGAGTAGGGGTCCCACTGCCCCCCCGGGACTGTGCCCAGCAGCCCAGCCCGGTGCTGGCAGGGAGCTGCCGTGATGTCTCGGCGTAGCCAGGCAGAGTGAGGTCCTCAGGGGGTGCTAGCAATACCAAAAATAAAACCCAACTTGCCCTGTGGCCACCAGCTCCCACGGCTGCTGTGCTGGGTGTCCCGTTGCCATCAGGAGCTGAGGGGGACACGGGGACTGTGACAGAGCTTTTGGCATCAATAAACCACAACCAACAGCTGCTGTCTCCTGTGAGCGGGGAGGG